CCCCTTCATCACCAAACACATGCTAATAAGAATCTTGTAAATAGTACCTCGAAAAATGCCGACGATGTTGTTATCACACTTGCAGTTCGCACACCATTAGCAAAGGGATTCAAGGGAGGATTCAAGGATACAAAGCTTGACTATCTTATCTACGCCCTTCTCCAGAAAGTCAGAGAAAAGTCCAACCTCGATCCAGCCCTTGTTGAAGATATCTGCTGTGGAAATGTAAGCACCCATAGAGATTCCTCTTGCAGAGGCGACGACTAATAATGATACAACAGGTCAGCGATGGCAATGCCGCATACAAACTTCGTGCCGCCGCCTTGGCAGCAGGATTCCCCAATACCGCCGCAGCCTCTATTGTAAACCGATTCTGCTCCTCAGGTCTCAAGGCCACCCAAGATATCGCAAACCAGATTGCTGAAGGTAGCATTGATATTGGTATTGCCATGGGTGCGGAGATGATGTCGATTGGAGGCGATAAACTCGATGGTGCTTTCCACCCTGATATTCTCAAGTGCCAAGATGCTGCCGATTGCATGCAACCTATGGGACAAACATCTGAGAATGTAGGAAAGGACTTCAACATTACTCGTGAACAACAAGACAAATATGCGGCAGAGAGTTATCAGCGCGCAGAGCGTGCTCAAAAGGCTGGATGGTTCGATGATGAGATCGTACCGATTGTTGCGGAGGTTAAGGACCCAAAGACTGGAGAAGTCAAGAAGGTTACTTTGACAAAGGATGAGGGTCCAAGATATGGAACTACCTTCGAGAGCTTGAACAAGATCAGACCAGCTTTCCCAGCATATGGTGACAGATCTACTGGTGGAAACTCTAGTCAGGTCACTGACGGTGGTACGTAACACATTCCATAAGCCGCTTTACCAGTATATATGCTAACTAAAATTCACAGCCGCCGCTGTTATCCTTATGAAGCGTTCCCGCGCCATCGAGCTCGGGCAACCAATTCTCGCCAAATTTGTTGGAGCCACCGTAGCAGGTCTCGCTCCACGTATTATGGGTATTGGTCCATCCATCGCTATCCCTAAACTCCTTACCAAATACAACCTCACTATCGACGACTGTGATGTCATTGAGCTTAACGAAGCATTCGCTTCCATGGCCGTATACTGCAAAGATGTCCTCAAGATTCCTCATGAGAAGATGAACATCAGAGGTGGTGCTATTGCACTTGGTCATCCATTGGGTACAACTGGTACTAGACAAATCGTTACCGGGTTAAGTGAGTGCAGGAGACAGAAGAAGAAGATTTTGTTGACTAGCATGTGTATTGGTACTGGACAGGGAATGGCAGGTTTATTTGTTAATGAACAGTTGTAAGATTTATATGCGATGGAGTGTTGATATCTAATGGTTAAGGGTTCGGTGCATTTCATGTAGTATCATTTTGTCAAATATAAAATCGTTCCTACTTTCAGTTTGTTTGGTTTCAAGATTATGTTGTGATGTGAAGGCTTCGCTTATGTGGTACAATGAATATATGAACTCGTCTAATCAATTCACTTTCAACGGAGGTTGGCTCTACTTGGGAGAAAAAAGAGGCCAAAATTGATTACCTTAATAAATTTTATAATAAATCAATGAATAACAAAATCTCAGAAATTAATAGTTTTACATAAATTCTCGAATAATTTTCAATTATGAAAGTATTTAAATCTTTAATTGTCTGAATTGGAATGAAACAATGGAATTGTTAAAGAGCTTTGCCAGTGGTCAATTGCGGCCTATTTTTTCTCCTACGAAGAGCTATGTCAAAAACTCAAGTCGCAGAACACATATATTAGTTGCATAACTTTAGATCACAATTTGCAATATGGAATCAAGTAATGTAGATAGTCATTGAGGCTTTTAATACAACATCCGTCATTTCACTCGTCCTGTCAACTATCCATGCATGTCAGTCTAGACAAACTGCAAGCACCCATTGTTGTTTCCAATTCTCTCATCCAAGTTCAAAGTACTGGTGTGCCACGATGGAGCAAGCTCAGCCTCGAGCTCTTGTCCGCCACGCGCCAATCTCACATTTCTCGCTGACGCACCGAAGTTACCACCGCCACGGCCGCCGCCACCAGGAACCTGTAAGTTCTGACCGGGCCAGATTTGGTCGGGGTTGGTGATGTTGTTGTGTCTAGCAAGCTCCTCATACGAGCAGTGGGAGAAGCGGTCGGCGATGGCTCGGAGTGTGTCGCCCTGTTGGACAGTGTATGTCGAACCACCGTGGCTGCCGCCGGAAGACCAGCGTAAGCTGCCATTGTCGTTCTCGATGTATTTGTTCAGACTGATGGTGCTAGATTGGTAGGAGCCATCTGTGCGGCGGCACTGAGCGTGCAGGTTGTAGTCACCGTGAGTATCGAGGCGAACTTCGTTGGACGAAGTGGTGAAGTTACCACCAAAGTCACCTCGGGCGCGCTCGTCACCCCGGGAGCGGTCACCTCGGGAACGGTCACCACTTCGGGAACGACTTCGGGAACGACGGGAGCTGCAACTGCTGCTGCGGCGGCGGTGATGTTGAGGTGGTGGGCCGCCGTGCTGCTGATTGTATTTCTCGCGCTTCATTCGCTCCTCCTGCTCTTTCTCCCACTTCTTCTTCTCGTCGTGCTCATCCTTCCAGTCACCTACTGCGTCTTGTGTCTTGTGTCCTGCAAAGGCACCAGTCAAGGCACCGATGACAGTGCCTGCAACGCCATGACCTGCTTGACCACCTAGCTTGTGTCCACCATAAGCACCGGCTGCACCTCCGGCGATGCCACCCATGATACCACGGTCACCCTCTGGGTCACCCTCACCACCGTACTGGTTCTGGAAGCCTTGGTTGTGTGAGTTGCGTCCCGAGTTTGAAGAGTGTGCTGCTGTACTGGGGTACTTGAATTTGTTAGTCCAGACCACAAAATCCGAGGAATAAACTTACCTGCTGGTATTGAGAAGGGTCCTGGCCATAGCCTCCCTGACCGCCGCTATATGGCTGCTGGCCCATGTGTTGCTGCTGTTGGCCTTGGTTGTAGTATTCACTAGCCTCGCCCTGGGGCTGTTGGCCATATCCTCCTTGCTGACCGTAACCTCCTTGCTGGCCATATCCTCCTCCTTGCTGACCGTATCCTTCTTGATTGTAAGACATATTGATAGTTAAAGAGTTATGAAGGTATTAATTAAGGATGTATGATTTGCAAAATCGCAGTGTATTCTTCTCCATGGAGCTATCTCCTTATATACTGCCCCAGCTCCCTTCTGTGGGGCCATCGTATGCTGTGCCATCATGCATCATTCATGAGTTGTCTGCACCATGCCGACACCGCCACGTTCCGCGCAGCCGACTTTGTGGGGTTGTGCTACAGTTTATCGTCACATCAATCCACCTCAGCCACAACATGGGCCAATAGGGCAGACAGTCTGACTCGGGCTGTCTGAGGGTCTGAAATGGGAGTGGAACGCCAAGGCCGTACTCAATCGAATGAACTGCCGATATTCCGTTTAGCATCCCGGTGAGCCAGTCAGAACTGGGAATTTTGAACTATTTTTACTTTTTTCCATTACACAGGCTACTCAACAGGTCAGGTGATTAGCTACGATGTTTCAACCATTCTTATTGTACTAGTCGATCTAATGACGCCTTCAGAAGAATATCCAAGTATCAAACGTCTAATAATTGTCGATGTAATCGATTGATTGAATTGAAACAGTAAGTTAGGTGTGTTGCGAAAACTCTCAACACATTTGTTGCGTATAGCGTATTCATTTGGTAATTTGGCCTGTACTAAAGTAGGGGTAATAAATTTAAGCTTGAATTAGATTGCTTTTAAATGGGGCAATTCGATTGGAAAATAGACAGAAATAAGGTATTGATAAGTAATCCATCGAATGAACGAATCAAATAGCTCTGGTATTTTCGGTAGCTATCATCCAGATTCTAGATGAGCCTTATATTTTCAATCCCTGCCTAGCGCAACCCAAATTACCAAATAAATACTGTATCTATGTGTCTGTACCAAGACGATAATATACAATACAAGCCACTTCTCTTCGGTTCTATGGTCGTATGTGGTGGAGATATCGTTGAAAGGGGGTATATATCTGGAGTAAGATTGGAAGCGAAGTGATGGGTGTCCCTGGATACGTTCCATGATGTTCTACGAGAGAGTTTATCGGGGTTGGCTGTACGCCTCGATAGCTTGGTAAAGAAAGATAGCTGTGCACGCGATAGATTTGAGGGATAGGATGTGGAAAATTTGTGTAATCTAGTACAATAACTTCGGACATCTATGATGAATAAGAATATTCCCGCTATCAGGATTCAGGGCCTTCAAAATTGTGACTGCCTTTTCCTTCCATAGCTAGGTAGGTATCTTGCTTTGTGGAATTTGTTTCGAAACTCAGGACTCCAGACCATCAACATCTAGGCTCTGCATCGGAGTTCTCTGGCTGTTTGTCTTTGGTTTTATGATGATTAATCAATCCCTGATTATGATATTCCACTTTTGCGAGATAAGTAGGTACCTAAGCTTTGAATCAATACAAATTTTAACCGGATAGCAAGATGGTCGGTTCAGTCGATAGTGCCAGCAGAAACAACCGAAGACCAGCTTTATGTGACTGTTAGTCCAGGAGTCCAGAGGTCAGGTAAGTATCAAAATGATACTTCCTGTGCTTTGTGCTGTATATAGTCCGACGACAACGACTATTTCACAGTATGCGGGTTGATAACAGAAAGAACACATCAGAATCACCAAGGGTTGATACGAATCCCAAGACCGGATTCAGACGCATGGATTTGGTGCCCTTGGGATATTCTCCCAGCTGGAGAATAATCTAGAGGGATCCAAATCGAAAGTTGCGGATGATCCAAGATTTCTCAACAGGCTGGTTCAGACGATACGTGAGATTCTCGATTTAAAATAAAGTGTATCTCACAGAACAATCGAAACTTTCAACTCGCTTGCGAACTACTCAACAACGAGAACAGTCAATATCACGGAAACGAGATGCCTCTCCAAACTGCAAAAGACGCGACTGCGAAGGTTGTTCCTCTCCCTCAGACCATTTTTTCTCAACCCCTCTCAGCCTACAACATTCCACTCATAAAACGCATACTCTCCATATTCTATCAACAAAGCACTATCAGACAGCGCGAACCACGAATTAGTCTCCTACATAAGCTCGCTCGTGTTGAGCAAAGTCGAACAGACAAAGTGAGAGATGCTGTAGCTCAACTTCTTCGTCTCAATATACCCATCATTAGAGCTGCTGTTGAGGCAGGGCCTCATGATGAAGACGTAGATGGAGAGCTTACGGGGGTCGAAGAGGGCACGGATTGTGAAGTTTGCTTGCGAGCTTTACCCCCAGAAAGCTTTCCCCAACAAGACATTGCAAGCAAATGCGAACACAAGGCACATATGTGTACGTCGTGTCTGGAACAAGCTGTTGTGGCGAACGTAGAGAGCAACCCGTGGGACACTATACGTTGTCCATACTCCAGTTGTGAAAGGTTGTCGAATTCAAGTATTATCAGGAAGTGCCTCAAAGGAAGCCTACTTGGGAAGTATGCAACCTTGCGATATTGGCAGCCATATTGGAAGCTAACCGTAGGATAGTTATAACAAGTACATCGATAAGCTAGAGATCCGCAACCTGCCGAACTTTCGATGGTGCTTGAAACCTAGTGGGTGTGGTGATGGTCAAGTCCACAATAGCGCCAAAAGCCTCAAAATCGCATGTCGTGCATGCGAATTTGAAATGTGTTTTTCATGTCAGACACCGTGGCATGAGGGGATGATCTGTACGCAGAGCTACAATGACGCAAGTATCTTAAAGTCAGCCAATCTGATTAGGCACACGACAAAACTGTGTCCACGGTGTAAGGCACCCACCTTTGTTGAAAAGAAAGACATCAGGTGTGGTAATATTGTTTGTAGGTTTGTATTCCATATTTAGTGCCTGAGTAAGCTGATTAAAATAGGTTTCTGTGGTCGAGGGTGGAACTGGAGCAAGGTCCGTTATAGAGCGGGGTAACTTCAACACTCAACATTACTATCGATTCAGATAGCTCTCAGAAGAGGGTGCTAGCCTGGATAGGCATATAATGTATGGTTAGATCGATTTCAGAGCCCTAAGAGGTATGGATGGCATAATGGTAACCAAATCCATTGTAATAAAATTCATTTCTCTCTCTCTCCCCAAGATGCGAAATATTCTTCCTTTTTGGCTGCGAGCAGGAGTCAAGTAGCAGAATAAGTCAATTGATCGCTTTTAGTTCGGTAAAGTACCAGGGTTGCTGAGAATAAACAAGACACACTCCCATTTTGTGTGCAAAATATACAAATGCGTACGCATGGATTCATCCAATCGCCCCCGGTAGCACTAAGCAACACTTGACCCCTTTCACGGGAGACTAACCTTTAGCTTAAAGATCTAGTGCCGAAGTACGCTAAGATCGGTCAACGACTGATCTTTAGCTCCATTCGAGTGATCATCAATAATGACGTCTAGAACACGGAACTATTTGGAATTGGCCCTTAGATCTTATGAGCTCATAGTCTGCTAGCAATTGATCCGGGCCATTGTTGAGAACTCCTTTTCATAATGAAATCGTGAGCCAGCTTCATATTGACATACTATAAACAAACATAAACTATAGAAAATGTCTGCCCTCTTCGATACAACTCGCAACTTTTCCCTATTCGGTGTAAGAACACCAGCTCCGAATCGATCAATGGCAATTTCTCACATCTGTACAGGTCCCCGCAGCATGGCTCCTAGCTCACGCCCCTCATATGTATGCTGCAATCTCGTCTGAATGCTTTGATAATCGCTCCCCCAGAGACTTCCCAAAGAGTCTTGAAGCTGATCAAAGGCTCGATAAGGCTGTATGTGCCCCTAGCCAATACTTCTCTCTCGTTGCATAGAAAACTAACATCTTCACAGAAAAAGAGCCAGATTCGCCGAGCCCACGCCGCCGGAGCCAATGGCTACGAAAATCTCGGTCTTTTTGCTTCTGCGGTGGTCGCTGGAAATGTCGCGGGACTTTCCCACTCAACACTGAATACCCTTACTGGAGGATATTTAATTAGTCGCGCGGTTTATAATTTCATCTATATAAACAATGAGAGTCAAGGGGCAGCAGCAGCCAGAAGCTTGGTTTGGCTTTTTGGAATTGGACAGATTTTCACGCTGTTCATCAAAAGTGGCAACCTCCTCACAAACAAGGCTGCAAACTTGTTGTAAATAGACGAGAAAGCGTATGAATCACATGATATCGGACTGTACATACTTTGTAAGATATCGAGGGCAACCTTGCAATAAATGAAAGTCGCCACGGAATCATTCGATGGCATCAAATGAACCTGTTTCAAGATTGGGAAATACTTTCGGACTTCTCGTCGTCTCTGCTTCAAGAATGAGATTCTTCGAATCAAATTAGAATAAACGGAGAGATTTACTCATTAGTGATTCGCGGTGAAGTTCAAATATTATCACATGATCTGGCGAGCTATTGTATCTTACCTGCGGTAGGCATATATTGATTTACCTCGTATCAAGGGATAATAACACACTATCGAATACTTGAGAAAGAGGGTAAAAGGGCTAGATGCTTCATCGGCTTCGCTAACTTTGAGGCGTTCCTGAATATCGTCGGATTCCAAGATCCTTTTGATTCTCTCCACATTCGGCGGGTCTTCACCCGCGCCGATGAGCTATACCATTTACTGACGTCACTATTTCTTATCGAGCGGCCTGGATAAGGGAAGTTTTGGAATTCACCTGCAATATATATTGTAGCAGTTCAAGATGAATCTCTGGAGTTTACACAAGTATATCAAAGAACGACCATGTCTAACAACACCATACCAACAGTCGAGGGGGGCAAGAGAATAGTAAGTGGCCAATGATTATACCGATGAACTCTTGATTGACGATATATAGGTTTTCACAGGAGGTAGTGGAAAAGCAGGGCGCCATGTTATCCCATATTTACTCTCCAAAGGACACAAGGTCTTAAATCTTGACCTGATTCCATTCCCCGATCCATCTGTTGATGTATACACACTCAAAACGGACCTCACAGATTCAGGCCAAGTTTTCAATGCCTTCACATCCCATTTCAACATGTCCGGATACTATGAAGGACCGGTGCCTGGTCCTCCAGATGTGGTCATACATTTTGCCGGTACAACCCTCTATCCTCCCTCATCGACTGTATAATTCTAACCAGCACCAGCCTATGCCCGAAACATGCTTGTACCTGACAGCGAACTCTTTCAAGCCAACACTCGTAGCACATACAACGTCATTGAAGCAGCTAGCAAACTTGGCGTGAAGAAGGTCATAATAGCTAGCTCCGAAACCGTGTATGGGGTATGTTTCGCACAAGGAGATACCGATTATCATTCCTTTCCTCTGGAGGAAGACTATGATGTTGAGCCCGAAGATTCTTATGCTCTATCCAAGATATGTGGCGAGAAGACTGCTCGTACATTTGCGAAACGGTTCAAGTCAGATATATATGCGTTGAGAATCGGGAATGTGATTGAACCACATGAGTATAAAAGAGACTTTCCAGGTTTCATGGAAGATCCTATGTGTAGGAAACGAAATGCATGGAGTTATATTGATGCAAGGGATTTGGGTCAAATTTGTGATTTGGCGATCAAGAAAAATGACCTAGGGTTTCAAGTCTTCAATGCCACAAATGATGGCATCACAATACCTGGGGAAGAAAACACAGAAGATTTTTTGAAGAGAGTTTGTCCAGGAACGAAGGCCACAAGAAAGTTGGGAGAGAGGGAAGCACCATTGAGCAATAGAAAGATCAGAGAAGTATTGGGATTCAAGGAACTTCATGACTGGCGCAATTATGTCAATTAAGAGTAGGGAGAACTTCTGCTTCGAGGAACTTCCTCTTGATAAATTGAGGGCTTTAGAAACCTCTTCACATAGCACTACTTACCATCTCGAATTCCCACGCCTTATGCACAGGCGAAGCCGAAGCCATATTCGGTAGTGAGCATACCTCAAATGATACCAAATGTTCTCAAGATCTGTTTATTATGGTTTGATTTGAAGCCTGATACTGTCATTTAAGTGCCGGGCCCACAACCTTGATTCCAAGTTCTCACATTTCCTTACCAAATCTCCATTCATCCTCCTCTTTTTCTTTTGAATATAAATTTTCTTAATTTTCAATTGAATCAAACTTCTCGTTTTTCTTGAATGATTTTCGAAGAAAGTTGAACCAAAATATGTTGATGTTCTTCGAATCAATATCTTTGGAATTCAAGGAAATTTGTGACTAGCAGTACAGCTAGCTATATCAATTAAGAAGAGAAAGAAAATACAACTCGAAAAGCTTCTTGTCAATAAATTAATAAATCAATTATAGTTTTATAAACCTCTTCATATAATAATATTCACCTAGTAGGATTAAGAACGTCGATTTCTGCGAAGTTGGAGCGGTATGCATAATTTGTTTTGGTTGTCTTGCAATCTCCTAATAGCTTTCGTGCCTCGTATTCACATATGAGGCTACAAGATGCAAATAGGTTCGCAGTCAAGATGAATTGCCCAGAAATAGCTGGATTGCGATGTCATACTAGATTGGGGGTACTTGGTAAGGCACGTGGTGAAAATAGAAACCTGGTTTGTTGCATACCTGGAATTGAAAGTGTGGGGAAATTGGGGAGGTTTCCTGGCTCACCAGGTTATCGTCTGCCGATTCGGGAGATTCCAATTGTTCCTGCGCATACCAAAACAAACGAGCAGTCGTAAATCTCTACTGTTCTCGGACGACATATATATCAAAATCCAAACTCAATCCAAGGGTACACTTTATTGTCTCAAGTACTTCAGAGTACCCTCCATATTACTGGATTTTGGCTTCGGTAGAAAACGATCTGAGCAGATCAAGCAGGCACATCTTCCTCCATTATTTATGAGTAATGGAAGACTATATCAGTTCTTTTGATGTCGCACTCTTCAATATACCGCTACGTATGAACACATTGTCAATTATCACACTCTGCTCATATGTATGTCGAGATGATATAGACATCTGATCCAAGAAATATCGAGACTCCTATTGCTCTATAATTTTGATACTCAGCGCAAGAACGGCTTATGTCCTGACCCAGGCTTCCCATAATTTTGATCTCTTAGCTCATATTTGAACACGGTCTGGGCTACTTTAAGTATATCATCTAATGCCATAAAAGCACCAGCTGTGGTGAACAGTGTCTTGAGGATTACTCCATTTTTGCCTCTCAGGTCCTTTCTACCCTTCAAAGCAGCTGAGATATTACTACACGTTGCTTTCGCCTTTCTATAGTTCATATTTTCAAGACCATCAATGACACAGAGAGGGATGGCAGGTGCTAGGATTCAAGAGATCAATAGCATGTGACGATCGTCTTGACAGCTTTTTAAAGGTTTCTCGAGTTGAGAAAACCGCAAAGGATTCGAATCGATCTCGCAGTCAACTTTTAGCTCAAGAAGAGCAATGAGCTGGTGAATGGGTGCATATACAGGATTTGTTTCATGAGCTTGTTCCAAGGTCAAGACTTGTTGTTGCTCCGATCTCGTGATGAGCTCGCAGAAGTAAAAGATATCGGCATCTTCGATATCATAGTAACATCAACCAGAGAGCGAGCAAGTACAGAGGCATAAGCGGAATATCTGTGGCTAGCTTCTGTTCGGACCTATCGGATAGTGCAATCGTTGTACTCCAGACATTTTCTAATTCACATGGCAAAAAATGCAGCTGCCCAAGAGGAGGGTGGTAGAGTTCTGTAGAGATCCGCCAAGTTTCCACTGATGAACATCTCCAAACTACTCGAAGAATCTTAAATGGCTGTTCGTGTACATACTCGTTTCTGACCAAAGGGAGTTGATCCCGCGTTTTGGTCAAGAAGATTTTCCTCTCTGAGGGACGCATATACTCTTCGAACATTTACATTTCCAGGAACTATCTGCTAATTTACTGATTTTAAAGCTCAACGTTGTCCATAAAGACTCTTTGTCATAACCCACTGGCGAGGAGGTTTGCAACACTCTTGGTAGTCAAGAGTGCCAATTATGGCATGAAATCTGTCGAGGCCAGTTCGCGGAGAAACCGGACTGGTAATTTTCTGTAGGGGAAATGTCAGAGGCAAATTACCCTGTTACATGGTGCGTATCCTGAACCCTGTGTACCTTTCGTGCAAGCTCAGATGATAACTAAGCTCATCTCCTGGATGGAGTAAGACATGCACATCGGGCTAGTAATCTAATTCCCGCATAAATTGCGAGACTTACAACATCATCAGAAAGTGTAGCCGAATTCGCTGAAAGACCCGTATCTCGCGTCCTTGTAGCAATATCGACACCGATCTCGATACAGTAAGGTCACAGCTACGAGGGTGGACGATGAACGTCCGACGATGGGGAATCATTCTTCTTATATTTGTTAAAGTTGAAGTTGAAGCAGACGCATATGTAGAAGAACGTACAGCTCATGGGTTTGAAAGCAATACTTTAGTCGCAAGTTGGTGTTACTACTCGCTCATATCCCACCGCTTCTATCTTCTACAACTAGGTCGTTAGGGTTCCCAAGAGATTCAAATAATATCTGAGCATATTTTCTGAAGGAAATGTGGCAAATAAAGCATTGCAATGTAGGATGAGAGGCGATAATGTTGAAAGGGGAATGAAGGTTGAGAACTTACGTTCGGATTGGACAAGCTTATCCAGTACTGATAAATGAGGTATATTTACTATTCTTTGTGATTAATCATATCGCTAAGTCATTCTGGAATTCTGTTCGACGCTTTATTAGTCTATAACTCCGAAGTATCTCGTGAAGCTTAACAAGAACAAGAACAAGAACAAGAACAAGAACAAGAACAAGAACAAGAACATTCCAAACATCCAACCGACTAGACAAATCTGAGCAGGGCATTCACTGGGGACCCGGAATGTTCTCAGGAAAACGGAAGTCGATCATATGTATTCCAACAAAGCACTATAAAACCGCGCATTCAAAGCTACTATATCAGACAGTTCAACAGAATACGAGAGATAATCTCAATACTACCATCCGCATTAGGAAATAGATCGAATCTCCTAAAGTGGAGAGATTATAAGCATCAACCAATAAATATCGTCAGAAATATGCGGGATACGGGCTGAGGGGCCGGACCGTACCGACCTGTTGGTACGTTATATAGCCTGTTATTGGGCTTACCGGGGTGCGATAGATTAGAAATACGCTAGAGACACCGTAGTATTCGTTTACAACGCGCATCTTTGTGGGTTTTATTGCTTGTCAGGGAAGTTTTTTGGATTTACCAGGGCATTGTGGCTGTCAGTTGAGTTTTGCGTACGTGTTGATCGGTGGATACACTCGGATGAAACGTTGTCTTTTGTTGGGCTCTCTGCATCTGACTGTATCTCAATGCCCAATGCCAATCTTTGTATATGAACACATTTGCTGGCAGTGTTACAATCATGTGAAAAATAGGGATCTGAACCAGAGATATGTGATGGCTTTTTTTGATACAGAGGCTCAAAAGAGGGCTGAAATAATTTCTTCGTTCTGATCATTTTACAAGACTAAACTACGATCTGAGTTGATGATAACATGAGTAGTTAAACCAGCTCTTGCTTTTCATTACTTTACTCTGACAAAATGACCCTCAAACTCCCATATAGGACCTACATAGACTTTCTGTCCATGCAACAGCCAGAAAATCATACTAAAGATAACGGCCCCGCCAAAAATTAAACAACTCCAATTCATATTTGCCGCGTCCACCGTTGAGAAAGCAGGCCAGAACGAGAAAAACAGTGCGACAATTGTGTAGATTATAGCCACAACAGTAATGGGTACACCTAGCTTCTTAAGCCGGAAAGGACCCCATGGCATTTCGGACGCTGGTGTTTTTAATCTTTTCGCTAACATCACACTGGCCGCTAACAGGAAAGATGACTGGTATGCGGCCAAAACAACAGAATAGAATGCTCCAAATGCGGTGTATGAGCCAATGCTTATTAGTGCGAGTAGTACGTTGATTATAAGTGTTCCTATGATTGCGTTGATTGGCAGTCGGGTTTTGGGATTAACCTATGCTTGTTATTAGTTTAACTTTGTAAGAACCCAGGGACGCGGTATTTTTACTTTCACGAGGAGATGAGAGAATGGGAGCCCATTTTCTCTTGAAAAAGCCCATAAAGTTCGAGATGCTGTGGCCAACACACTGCTGACGGAAAAAACGTTCACTCCGGTAATCACAATTATCTGCCCAAGTTAGATAAATACGTTCATCCATGAATCAATACTTACCAGTGCGTTGGCTCCTTTTTTTGACCCTAATGCAGCCTGAAATATCTCCATGAAAGGGAACCCAGTGTTTGATTGAGTGGCGGCGACGATATCTTGGATGCCGAACAAGACTGCTATCATCATGGAAAAGCCTAGGATGCCATTGAATAAGGTTGAGAACCAGATGCTGAAGGGTATGACTCTCGCCGCCTGGTTGATTTCTTCGGCTATTAAGGATGAGTTTTTAGCTTCAACCTTGGTCCTGATCTATGTTTATTCGATAGAGGAAAAAGAATATAAGCATACCAATGTGGTCAGCGCCATCATTTCCTACGAAAGAACTGACAGATGTAATCCATCCAACAAAAAACGAAAGACCCATGCTATCCCATCCACCCAAGTTTTGGAAAGTGGTGAAGACCTTGTCAGCGGGTGTATGAGGCGATAAATAAACTATAGGGATAAGCACTCCAATAAATCCCAGGATATAAACAATAAGCATCATAGCTTCGATACGCGGGAGAAGGCGACCCAGATAAGTATTGATGAAGACGCCAAAGAGAGCGATGGCATAGAAAAGCAGAGTCGCTTGCCACAATTTCGGATCATAGTCTGGATAGTTGAGAATCAGGAGGCCTTGGATCAACGAAGCGATAGTATAGCATGTTTCTGCAACAAAGGCTTGCCAACAAATCACGGTGAGCCATCCTGCCAAGTAGCTAAGAAATTTTTTGCACCAAGGAGGAGACAAAATAGCAACCCAATTAAAGGGGCCACCAGCGAGTGGAATCCTATATCTGGTGAGTAATAAACCCTTGGTTATTTCAAGATTCTGACTATTTGACTCACATTGATGCCATCTCAGCCATTACCAATGCTTGAAGCATAGCTCCGGACCATGCCGCTAGAAATCCGTAGATCAATCCGGCAGGGCCGCCATTTTGTAATCCGAATTGAAGAGTGCTTTGTATGGTAAGTCAGATAGTCCTTCTGAGCGGAAAGAAATTTATTGGAACTCCTACAATAAGACGACTTCCCACGTCAACATCAAACCGCAAGTTAAGCCCACGGAAGACAGAGATTTAAATCTTCGCTAAAATTTATGTGGTCAATGATATATAGCAAAGCTTAGCCGAGTGAGATCTTACCTTGAGCTGCTGCTTTTTTCCAAATACAGCCAGAGTTGCCTCATCTTGAACTTTACTTGCGTAGTCTTTCTCCGATAACTTTCCTCGTTCTGCTAGGTTCATAGCCCCATTTTCTTGGTCAAGATTAACTCCGGAAGAAGTGGTGACTTGAACTTCTTGCATAACACCAGGCTTGACTTCATCAAGCTCATAGGAAGACATTTTTTCGTTGCAGGATCGCAGAATGCCACTTCAAAGAAAGAGAGAGTAAATTAGAGTTGGATAAAGAGGGGGATATTGCTCAATAACGGATGCTTTTTTTTTTTGGATAGGCCATGTAATGGTTCCATCATGGGTTTTGTACAATCAGACGAACCATTGAGCCTAGATTGTTTGACCCACTGATAAAATACAAGAACGGCGAGTTGCATTTCATGCGTTACATTCTACTTGTTATAATTTCATGCCCCTTGTTCCGGACCTGCGGGGAAGCGGAGGCCTAAATGCAACATCAACAGGGGATATGATAGCGTCTCAAGGCTGTAACCGAGAGCAGGCCATGGCTTGTAATGTCGGACATATTTATCCATATATTGCATGGACTCGAGATGGCGAGACTGGATTTCATTCTATCACCCAGACAATAAAGTGATTTCAACTCATTTCAAATATCCATCATCAATTAATGAAATGGCACCTATCAACCCAGCAGCCGATTTCTATGACAACTTAGGAATTAGATACGAGAAGAGTTTTGGACATGATGAAGGCCTCATAGCGTTCATTACTGAGAGTCTCAGTCTTCTTCCTACGAGTTCTGATACAGCGGTCCTTGATATCGGCAGTGGAACTGGGGTTCCAACATCCAGCCTCGTTGTGAACAGTGGTCGCAAATTATATGGGATTGACTTTTCTCCTGTCATGATCAAATTGAGCAAGCGACAGGTCCCTGGGGGAAACTTCAAGCTGACCAATATGCTTGACTTCTCCCCTGAATCCCCATCTCAATTTCAAGGCGCCTTTGCGATATTCTCCCTGTTTCACTTTTCGCGTGAGGAAATGGATACGGCGGCTGAAAGGATGTCGGGATGGATTGCTCCTGGGGGCTACATCTTCATCGGGACCATGGTAGCTGAGGACTTTCCAACAGAGCCACATATGTTTGACGAGGATGGAGAATGTGCAAGAGGAATCGAACATACATTCATGGGAAAGCGAATTGGGAACCTTCTTTACACCAGAAAGGGTTGGGAGAACTTATTGCGAAAGGTTGGGCTCGAGGTGGTGAAGACAGAAATGGTGCCTTTTCAGGCGCCTGCAGATGCAGAATGCGATATTGAGCCGCATTACTACATTACCGCACGCAAGAACTCTGATGGATAAGCGCGCACAACAAGCAGAACTTCAAGGTTCAACAGGAGTCTGGATCCGTTGAGCGTACTTTCACGATAGAACATAGATCGACAGGAAAGTGCACTACGCTTTCCGAAATTAGAATGATTAGCATTGATCCATGTCACAATTGACTTGGTACGTCGGCATCACGTATTCGAACAGGGCCAATTTATCCAGAGACAAAGAGAAGAAAATAAATTAGATCATGATTTGCTCATAGGTCAATATTCAATATGCGCGTACCGATTAAGTGTTGACAATACAAGTGTGATGTTATTCATCTCCTGTGCCTATAGGTTTGTAAAACTACGTTGCTAAAGTGTTGTTGGATTTCACAATCGGACGTTGACTTTCGCGGATTCGGTAAAGAATACGAAGTGAGGCACAGCACACGTTTAAATTCCCTTGCAGTCCAGCTTCTAATTTCATGCGGACTAATAGTCCACAATACTGGTTCTTATCTCTAACTAATTGAGCAATGATAATCTGTAACCTAAAGAAAATGGATGTTTTTTTTGACCGCAAGATCTAGGAGCAATCATACTCTCACGCAGTGAGGGTGATTCATATATTGAATGCAATTCTTAAGTTTTCTCGTATCTTACAACAGTATGTCAATTCCATGAACATTCTGAGCCTTCCACTATCGACAATTCATATTTGATACAGACGGGTAGCTACCTATCCGACCAAGATGGCTGTAGTGACAGCTGATAATCATGGGCCACTTCTGAATGTCGCTATGTGGATTGTATTGGTACCCATGGTTATCATAGCGTCGACCAAAATCTATACCAAATACGACACTCTTCGCAAAATCCAAATTGATGATTATTTGGGTCTCATCGCTATGGTATGTAGGCCCAATGCGTTTCCATTTTGGTCTCTACGTGCAATTTTTCCGTATTTTGGGCTTACAATTATCCGTAATACCAGTTGTCCTCGGTCGGTCAATGCATATGCACATCGGAACAAATTGCTTATGGACTTGGGCAAAAACAAGACACTATCCTTCAGAATGAGATAAATCGCTTCTACATTGTGAGATATCTGCGATAAGGCTACCGACAAGCACTAAGAACTCATAGGCTCAATATGCTGGTAACATCATGTATATCTCAGCAATCTTTCTCACCAAGCTATCAAGTCTTCACTTCTTTGTCTGTCTCACGAGAGAAGGAAGCAAGAAACGCCGATTGATTCATAGAAGCATTCTCTGGATTGGAATATGGAGCTTGATCAGTATTGTTGTGATCGCTCTGCAATGCCAGCTCCCAGATCCTTGGGAGTATGAGCCGGGGAAATGTATCAATGTTGTAAGATACCTCCAAGTCTCCAAGTTCTGTATCCTAACCTCAGTCACTGTTCCACAGAGAGTCTTTTGGACAGTCAACGCGGTAGTGGATTCGCTGACTCAAGTGTTCATTGGTCTGCTTCCTGTGTATATTTTGAATGCTCTAAAAATGGAGGATTCCAAGAAAAGATTGACAATACTTTTGTTCTCGCCGAACCTTTTGTGAGACTTGTCTTTCACAGCCGATAGCCCGTTTGTATTCCGTATCAAAAGACGTGTGACTAATTCAACCATCAATAATAGGACCTTGCCCATTCTTATTCTTCGCATAATCTATCTTTATAACACCATTGATTCTACAAACTATACATGGGATTCATTTAACTTGGCTTTGATGACAAACCTGCACTCTTCCTTCACAATTATATTGTCCTGCGTACCCTTCTCCAAATCCATCATCGACAGTCTCATCGTCGCACCGCATATCATAACGGACACGACAAGCGAGGTCCTCTCAACTGATCGGCTAAAAGGTGCAGGAAGGGGGAACAAATCTTACATCAGAGGCACTTCACACTTCTTAAGCGGAGGTGCAACTAGGACAACTACAATAGTAACTGTTTCTGGAGGTGAAGCACAAGAATTGAACGAGTATATCAGCCGTGCCGAGAGCCAAGAAAGGATGATCTCAGGGTCAACAAGCCCGGCTACAAGCAAAGCTGAATGGCACTCATAAAGAAGACCGATGATATTCATCGTCCCTCAGGCACTACCAAAACGATATGTGACTAATGACACAGGCCATCGACAAGAGGCTTTCAAGCAAAGCATGATAAATTGCCTTTCCATGACAGCCCTTTGCGATAGCAGTTCTCGTTATGTCGATGGCATTTCTCGCTTCACTAGATGCAACCCTCGTCTAGCACAAAATAGACGCGACATGACCACGATCGATCAGATCAGAAAGTTCCCATCCCGATCGCCGCTCTCTCTTTCAGCAAGAAACCCCACTCGAAGAAAACAAGGTTCCATACCCCACTAACTTCCCCGCTACACTCACCCAAAAATTATCGCCTCGGCTAGAAATTTGATAGAAGAAAAATTCATAACACCAACAAAATTTGCAAAAAATCACCAAAAGCAAATTCGAACATGAAATTCAGGGAATTCTATGCGATGGAACTCTCTGACGGGGAGTCGAACCCCGGTCTCCCGCGACTTGCAATACAATTGACAAGCGGAAATCATGACCGTTAGACCATCAAAGATGTTGTGTTATTGTTGGGAATGCGAGCAGATTTTAAGTGTATATTGCAGCGTTGTGGGTGGGGGACTGGTGGAATGACGGGAGCTGTGTTACTAATAAGATGGGGGTGGGGATATGGTAAGGAAATGTGGGAAATCAAAATCAAGGTTCTGGGCCTGGCATTTAGATAATATTATCAAGCTTCAAATCAAATCATGTGATATTGTTTGAGGTCTGCTCATTGTTGAATATAGCTTTGCCTTTATATAAAGCATAGAAATTCAAAACACTGATTTGGTTCCATGCAGCCTTTGCTATTGACACAATTTCTTGAACTGGAACGGATGGTAGGCCAGTCATAACTGCCCTCAAGTGTGAGTCTGCACAGGTATTTGCAAAGTGTGGCTCGAACTCACAAGGAACACTCGTGCCAAGATACATAAAGGAAACAATGCAAACCTGTGTTAAAATCGATCTGATTCTATAAGGCATTCTTATACTACAGCTAGCCGTCAGAGCAACAGAACACAAGTTCTTAATAACTTTGAGAGAGCTCCACTGCAAGCTCAAGAGTGAAAATGAGATGATTCGGTAAGGTTATGCAAGAACATCTCAAAGTTGCTGACAATCGAGGACTTCAAGATCGTCTAGTCACATGGGAAATAAAAGAGAATGAAGTACCCCGAATGTGCAATACTGGCTGGATACATCGCGATCGACCTGGAGAGTGTTTGGAGACGCGATGAGTAAATAAATACATTTGACTGACAAAAGTTTCTTATCAATTATGAGGGTGTGTATTTATATGTCTCAATCATCACCTCTTGTTCCTTCTCCAACATCTATCAGCGTCATTTACTAAATCCACACTCTAAAATGATAAAAAGAGCAAAATCTTACACCCTCACACCCTCGCTCTTTCAGCAAATCAGATACCACTTGATTCGCTCATCCGATATCGTAGATTGATCATTAAATGCCTTGCCCAGGTGATTTTCAATTAATTTCTTCTATTTTGAGGTGTTTACTCTCTTTAGAGGGGAGCTAATTAACCCTAAGATGAGTATTCTTGCTAGCTTTGAACGAATTTTTCAAAAGAGTAGGTATGCCGCAAAAACCAAATCTCCCCGAGCTCCCCTCCCTCACGTGTCTTATCACTTAAAATACACCGCCTTCCCTTTTCAACCCCTCACCGCTTTGACGACCCGCAGAATGACAACCCCCAACCCCGATATTAATCCATTCGACTCATCTGCCCCGCATCACGCCCTTCACTGCTATCTTGACATTGTTGATATTCTGCTCTCTGCGTCCTAGAAAACTCCCCAAACCTACTGGAATTCCAATTCAACTTTCTCTCTTTCTTAGTCTTCGACAAATATCTTCAATTAAGATATCGATTGCTTTAGTAAGATATCATACCACCTAGTAATATAACATTCTACAAAAATGGCCGAAGAAGCAATAATTCGCCATGCACGTCGTGAAGGTAAGATGACAACCAATCTCACCTAACTATCACTTCCTCAAACTCCATCTATCTCGTTCTCTCCCTCTCCAATCCCACCCAAGCTCCGGCCGCCAAACTAACAACCCCTCCCCACACCCAGATGTCCCCGGAATCCTAACCCTCATTCACGAACTCGCGTCCTACGAACATGAATCCGCCTCCGTACTCGCTACCCCCTCCTCCCTCTCCAAAACTATTGCTTTCGCTCCCTCGCCCCTCATTTCCCCTGCAAACACTACGCCGTCTACAGGAGATGCTATATCTCCTACTCGACCCGCGCGTTGTCTACTCGTCTTTCCTCCCTCTTCATCCTCCTCTTCTTCTTCCCAACCCCCCGAACCAATAGGAATGGCGCTATATTTCTACAACTACTCAACGTGGCGCGCTTCAGCGGGAGTCTATCTCGAGGATTTGTATGTACGGGAAAGCGCGCGGGGAAAGGGTTATGGATCGAGATTGTTAAGTATTTTAGCGAAGGAGGTTGTGGATATGGAGGGAGGGAGATTGGAATGGAGTGTGTTGAAGTGGAATGAACCTAGTATTAAATTCTATGAAGGGAAGAGTGTAGGTGCTAAGGCGATGGATGGGTGGCAGACGATGAGGGTTGATGGGGAGGCATTGATGAAGTTGGCGGAAAAAGCTAGGTAGATTAAGAGGAGATAGGAAGTCTCTTGAAGAAGTCAAGGGACATTTGAGTAAACGTTTTGAGCAATTCCGATGTCACATGAGGAGGGAAGAAACTATCTTTATGAAAATCATTATAGAAGGCTTTTCTTCCGCCTCGAATAGCAATGCTACAGATTGAACAGTAACAGTGACACCGACCCTAATGTATAAGTTGTTGTGTTTCACGCCTGACTGACTTCCTAATCTTTCTATCCGTAGTTCCTTGGGCTAACCCACCGTCCGGCGATTCGAAAAACTCAGCATCTTTTAATGATGGCTTTGTAATCTCTCCCGCAGCAGATGGTGAGCGTTGTCCTCCCCAAGTTATTGTATATTCTTTGGTGTTCTCATCTTGCACCATCTTTGATGAAAGACTCCAAATCATACCGTATAGCCTTCGCATCGCTCGTGTCCTGTTGTGATGTGGCGTATTAGAAGCTTGTGAATCATGTAGCTCAACTTTGGACGTTGTCTCGTCCCAGACATCCGCATTAAGTCTGGCTGGTTTGTTATATAGTGAATCCATCCTTTCTCCAGCGGACTTCACATCTTCGTTTTGATTTCGGGGAATAGCAGCCTTTCGCCTTGGGCGTGGACACTCGATTGACTGCGTTCCTTCTGCCAAATCTCTCAATCTATTCCATTCATGTTCAGGTAGTGGTGGTAGAACTCGTTCTAAAAGACTTGCCCACCATGTGCGTTGCATATTCACTTTCCGTTTTTCTGGGAAGCTACGTCCCCATGCATTCGTTAACGGTATATCTGGCGTAAGCTTTTTTATCCTTCCTCTCATCGACTCCATAGGGTTATTTGCTTGTTGACTTGTGAGAAACAAATGCATTTCCTTGTGCTCTCGGCGTTGTCTTTTGGGTACAGCGTTTGCTTTGTCAATCTCAACATCTTTGGTCGCATCTAGATTCTTTGAAATCTGGCTGTCAATGATTCGTGACAGTGCTGTATCATCTTGTGGTAGTTCATCTTCTCCTGGTCTCAACAACTGAGTAATCAATTCCCTCCTTCTAAGTCCTGCACGTCCATATGTTCTCAATAAGACATGTTGTAAATCAGGTATACTCCCTTCCAGATTTACACGCTCTAGCAAATGTAACTTGGTGGCAATCTTTTTGGATCTTGTCTGCAATTTCTTCAAATCAACTTTTGACCGTAGATAATCGGTTCCCCAATATTTTGGGTTCAGTTTTCGAGGATCGGGAGGATTGAATCGTTTGACGAGAAGATCATGGACGAAAGTTCTGGCGGCAGAATCAGGAAGATAAGTCGCTTCTCTCAGGAGAGCTCGATATTGTTTTCGGAAATGTGGTAGGTATTCCTTTACTTGTAGGGAAAGTGGGTAGACGTTTTTGCTTATGGGCGGCATTGGAGCTACTGAAGCTGGGGGTTGCTGGAGATCGTGAACGGCAAGCAGTATCTAACAAGATAAATTTCATGAAACGAATGAAAAGAATTGACAAGAAGCGGAATACTTCCCGATCCTTTGGATTGAGTCAAAAGGTACCTGGGTAGTTGCCAAATTATTGCATTGAAAGTTAATGAAGATAAATATTGTTGTCGCCTTTAAATATAGGCATTAAGTCGCGTGTTAGGAGGATATTTACCTACAGAGTACAGTATAGCAATGAAATGAAGTCGTCTTCAAATTGAATGTCAAATTCAGAGAATCTTGGCATTGAGTAATGGCTCATATGAAGATATATGTGTCGACGGTGAACAAACCATTGTATATTGGAACGTAAGTACGGAGTATGTAGTAGAAGTCGTAGGTAGGCATGTACTCGTCCCAGATCCTCTTTTGCTGAGTGAGTCACGTGGTAGTGTCAGAGCTTGCTTATATAATACCTACCATTACACATTTATCCACCCAAAAAGTCATTCTAGCTTCGCGAACCGTCACGTCAAAGTCCAATTAAATTTCCAACCAACCCCCCACACCAATACATTCCAGTAATACACCAATTCTGAAAACCACTTTACATCTCTTCGCGCTTGATACACGAAAGACACGTCGACCTCACCCCTGTTTAGATATTAAGTCGCGTTCCCCTTATCGTCATTGATCTGAGTACCATTGTAGGTGAATGCGCTCAGTGAATATTGAATTGATAAAGCTCCTTGTTTCAAGGATCTTACCGTCCTCGGTGACGCGATTGCCATTCGACTAATACACATCGTCGCAACATCTCGATATCTGTCGACATCTCTCATTCTATGGCAGCGACAAGAATTAAATCGAATCCTCTGCCTCTTGCGAATACATCAGAATCAAAACAAAATCATCTGCCGCCAAACACATATTCTGCAAACAGCAGCGCACACGATCGTGGCCAAGATTCGACTCGATTTCGCTCGGATATGTCAATCAGTATGAGCCAAGGGTCACAGCCTGGTGGTTTAATGATGCAACCAGGTGGACCTTTTCGTCAATACGACTCAAGCGGTGCCATGAATCGTAGAGATATGGCACCTCAAATCTATTCGGTACGTTATCGCTGAAATCACTGAAAACTAAGCTGTTACTAATCTTTTACAGGCCGTATATTCCGGTGTTGATGTATATGAAATGGAAGTTAATCGTATAGCAGTCATGCGACGAAGAAAAGATAGTTGGCTTAATGCTACCCAGATATTAAAAGTAGCAGGAATCGAGAAAGGAAAGCGAACAAAGGTCCTCGAGAAAGAAATTTTGATTGGAGATCATGAGAAAGTGCAGGGTGGGTACGGAAAATATCAAGGAACCTGGATCAGATTCGAAAGAGGCGTTGAATTTTGCAAGCAATACGGCGTGGAAGAACTTCTACGGCCACTTTTAAGCTATGATATGGGCCAAGATGGAGGTATTGCAGGACAAGGTGGAATTGATACTCCAACGAAGGAACAAGCAATGGCTGCACAAAGAAAGAGACTTTATAATTCAGGAACCGAGAATCGTAATATTGGACAATCCGGAACGTTTTTTAAAAATATTTCGAATCAAGCTTCCCTCGCAGTCGCAGCAATTAGCAAAGCCCGATTTGATTCACCCGTTCCTAGGAATCGAAATGGTAGCGCAAGACCTACTACTTTTAGCAGACAATCATCACAACAAATGAGTCAAGAGACTACATTCCCCAACTCACAACAAAGTATGCAAAGCTTCGTTTCTAATGAAGGGTTAACCAATGGAGATTCGGCTTATGCGACCCAATCGCAATTTCAATTTTCGCATACTGGTAGAGAGGATGGAGACTTCCAAGAGCCGCCACGGAAAAGACGACGAGAATCACTCGAGCCACCGAATGATAGCCAACAGTCGATGAATGGTGGTTATAATATGTCATTGCGAGAGCCGTCGCCAACCGAACCTAATGATTCATTCTTCTATCGTCAAGAGTTAGGCTTATCACAAGAGGAAGAAGCTCCAATGCCATTACCACCCCTGCCAGAAAATCAACATAATGGAAAGAAGGGACTGACTCTTTTGTCACTCTTTCACAACGAGAATTCTTACTTGGGGACGAATGAGCACAACGACCAGGAGGCGTTCCGTACTATGTCCGGTGCAGAACTCGATATTCCCATAGACAAGTCAGCCAATACTGCCGTTCATTGGGCTGCTACTCTTGCAAGATTACCTGTCTTACAAAAGCTTATTCAATCCGGCGCAAGCATATATCGAGTCAATCTCAGAGGAGAGACTGCGTTGATGAGAGCATGCTGTGTAGCTAACAATTTGGATCAAGGAAGTTTCCCGGATCTTCTTGAATTGCTCGGCAACACTATTGGCTTTCAGGATAATCGTGGACGAACAGTCTTACATCATATAGCTGTCACTTCAGCTGTCAAAGGTCGCAGCCCTGCTAGCAAATATTACCTTGAATCACTTCTCGAATTTGTTGTTAGGAAAGGTCGTTCATTCAATGGTCAATCGCAAAACAATGAGCCTAATCCTCATGCCATGGATATTGGTCGATTTATGTCTGAAATGGTAAATGCACAGGACAATTCAGGTGATACTGCTCTCAACATTGCAGCTAGAGTCGGTAACAAAAGCATTATCTCCCAACTCATGGAAGTTGGAGCAGATCCAGAAATTCAAAACAATTCTAAGTTACGGCCATCAGATTTCATTGGGGGCTTGACAAACCCTGGAGATCGTTTAGGTCTTGCAAGTCCTGATAAGAGAGGAAATAAAGCTACGCGTGAAACTAGTGGTGAAATCATTGACTGTAAGTTTCTATCATTCCGCTACCCCCTTGAATTTTTTCTAATATAATTTTAGCCATAAATGCAACACTCCAATCAACACTTGAAGATTTTGGAAAAGAAGTAGAAGCTAAACAAGCTCAAATCGACTCAATTCATGCCAAACTTCGCGAAGCATCTGCAAGCTTAGGAGAAGAGCGACGTGCCATGGAAGCAAAACAAGAACGCAATAGACAACGTGAAGAACGTGATCTCAAAATCGCAAACCTCACTCGAGCTGCAGAAGAAGAAAGTATGAAATTACTTCAACTTCAACAACAATTCAATCAACCTACTTCGGATCTAGACCTTGAAATGCATCTTGGTGATGCAGATAAATCTTTGGCAGTTCCACAAATTCCTGCAGATATCAATAACACCCCGACGAGAAATTCGAATCTCACAGTAGATCATGTGAATAAACAAGCATTGTTGCAACAACTACCTTCGCTACATATTCTTCAAGCCAGAATCATGGCTTATAAGGCCAATAATGACAATCTGGAAAGGAGTGTTCAGGAATTGAGAAGTAAAGATACTGGCAGGATAGCAAAGTATAAGAAAATTATTAGCTTGTGTACGGGTGTGGATGTTTCGAAGGTGGATAGTGTTATTGAAGGGTTAGCGAGAGCTGTGGAGAGTGAGAGTGATGTTGATTTAAACAGGGTTCGAGAGTTTCTGACGAGGGTTGAGGGGGTATGAAGGGGGATTTCGGTTTCTGGAGGAGAGTCCGTCAAGAAGAGAGGAATGCAATCTGGAATAATGTAGGAAGGTGTGGAAATGTGCATATATAATGGGATTCTGTGGATTCGGTCTAGTCTGCATGGTCGGCGTTTGGGTGGGAGGTTCGGTATACTCATGTGGATATGATTATATGTTGGGGCATCGCATTACTTTGTATATGGATATTGGGAGGGTAAAGGAGGCTTTCCTTGCAGTCGGAAAGCATAGTATCTCCTATCTGTGCTGTGCTATAGATATATGGTAGGAATAGAACGGAATGGGGTTAGTAGAAGTTATCACCTATTTAATGGAGATTCGGACTCCGTTATCTCTCGTTAAGCTTGGTTTTATTTTGTGCAGTGGTGAGAGTATACACCAGTCATGGGGTTAACTCTCAAGTTATGAGTAGTGATGATTCGATAGCACGCTTCTGAGTGTGATCCAAGGGATTTCTTTGTAAAGACTAACTGCTCACATGTCCGGATATGAATTATTGTCGAATTTGTTCCTACTCATCACTGTGCAGATGGGTGGAACCATTCTTCTTGCATCATTTATAAAGACTCATTCGTGCAGCAGTTTTTTTCATTTCCAGTCAGAGTCAGTTCTCTCTTCATTTTGGTTCGAGGACTTTACCTTTTAAGGACTTGAAGTTCCCCTAGTTGTGGGTTTTCTTCTTCTCCACTAGCAAATTTCACAACCTCTTATCGAGAATCACTCCAAAGTTCGACAATAATTCCCTTATAAAGCAAGGGCAAAAGTGGAAAACAACAACTCAACTCTCCGCAGCATGTTCACACTTGGTGATTGCGGAGCAGCGATCGGACGTCAGTGCAGCAGAATATGTGGATCGAGCCGAAGCTACAGAGATGATACAGAAGAATACATTTTGGGCCAAACTGAGCTAGGCCCTTTCAGTAGAGATTCCAATAGGCGCAGATCCCACCCTACTCCTACATCTCGTCCTGATACTCGCGGTCCAGATTCTCGCGGTCTGAGTAGTCGCCATCCGCATCCTCCTATCACTTCTCAAGCCCAACCTTATCATCGCCTATACCCAGACGCACGGAGTAGGCCTGAGAATCAAACTACTCGTTATCCCACGCAAGTTCCACGTTTCCAAGAAAGTACCTATTCCACACCATCGCCAAGTGCCCAAAGCGCCAGTGCGAATTCTCAGGGTTTAGCTACACCCGGTAAATCCAGTCGTCCCAGCAGTTCTTCTCGTCAAATGCCCAGTAATCCTAGAACCCGTGTGTCAACTAGAGAGAGTCATAGTCGTGGCACGCAAAATATAAGAGCTAGGTATGGAGATGTTTTATAAGATTGCTCTTTTCGTAGATTTCCCAATTAGGTGACTTGGATTACTGATTTTTCGATATGCAGATTAGATCCTATGATTCTAGAACCGAATGGCTATGCGTATGTCTCTCCGAGTGTATCTACAAGACGTAAAACTGCTGGAAGTGTAGCGAATTCTGAGCTGGATGAGTCTCGTTTTGGGAAGGAGCATGTGTAAATGTAGAAGTTTGCCCAGGAATTTCGGAAGTTGTGGCTTTTTCTCTTATGTGAACGTTTGGAGTTAAGCGGAAAACTTTGGAGGATTATGATGGGGAATAAGGAGTCAAAATGATATGAATTGTGGTAAGAAGAAGAAAAGTGTAGCTTAGATGCTTGTGAATTGGGATATGCAGACTGACGAGTGGGAATAAAAAGTGCAGTTTTGAGCCATTGCAGAACAACATTGGGAAACGCAAATTAGCATTGAGTATTGAGTAATTGGAAACGAAAGAATCAAATATTATCGTTATGATTATTTTTGAATTTGAGAGTCAGAATTTATGAATCCTCGAAATTCGAAAATGGGGTTTGACTCAAGTCAACTTACCATGTCTGCGTAGAGTTCACCTTGAAGATTCGACTTCCTCTAGTTTTAGCTTTTGTTCCTCTCAACTACCATGATTTTTCGTCAAGCAGTTACACTTCAAAATACATCTAAAATCAATCATAAATGTGGCATAGATTGCGACAGATAGTGCGGAGTACGCCAGAAGATTCATGGCACCGAAGACGACGCCGCGGGGAGGGCAGGGGGTATGATAGGGAAAGTAATAGGAGAGAAACTGTAGGAGCTACTATGGGTGGGACTACGGGAAGAGCGAGAGGAGAGGTCATGCGCCTGAATAGGGACCAAGCGAGCCGTGTAGGACATATCGGACAGCACGAACATCAATCCCGAGGACCGGCTCCTTTAAATTCGCATATTCAATCAATCTCTTCTTTCGGTAGTGGCTGGAATGCTTTCAGGTCCCGTCATCCTTTAAATCAAAATCCTCCTGCCCCTCGCTATTATGGTCATCCTACTCCTTCTTACTCTCCTCCCCCTCCCTCTTACTCGCCTCCTCCAATTTATGGTACACCCCACGAAGCTTCCTCTCTTTTTGAGAATGGTCGCAGATCTACATCTTCAAGGTCTGGGAGTGATTCATTATTCTTCCGCAATCAGCGCAACACGGCGATGGCGAGGCATGCAGACACAGATTCGAGACGACAAAGTACAGCAGGTAGATTTCCTGGGAGCTACCCTCCTTCCTATAGATCAGTCGATGATACAACTCCTCGCTTCTATACATCAAGGGAAGCCTTTCTTTCTCCTCGTACATCCCACGAAGGAAGGTCTCATTCTTTTCGTGCACCAACAAGGAGGCAAACTCATCGCTATTCTTATGGATCACCGGAGAGACCTCGTACCTCGTCTTAAAGAGATAGTGAAAGTTTCTATTCGTCCTATTAATGTAAATAAGGAGATTTACCATTCTAAGTATGAAATCCTTTTTTGTCTTTAGAATTTTAAGTCTTTTCCCTAAGCCTTCCTATTCTATTCACTGAGGTCACTAACTTTCAGGTCCAGGTCCAACAATATTGCTGCAAAGAATGATCTATATGCATCTACCACAGATCTAACAATTCATAGATATGATTGAAGTGGCAGTAAATATTCGGAGAGTTCTTCGGAGCTGTGATAAAGGTGGAAAATGAAACGGGCAGGGATATATAATTAACATACGATGTAATTAAGAACACTCAGAGATGGTGGGTTAGAATACTCAATGTTCAATGGCATGATATTACAAAAATACTCGTATCAATTGAAAAAGTAAATGGGCAGCTGTGGAAATAGTAGATATGACTGCTTGCGTTTTCATGACTGTTAGATATGACAATCATGGTATATGAATCTTCAAACTTTCAAATTCGAAACTAGATTTCGAGTCATTTTTCCTCGCCATGTCTGCTCAGAATTTACCTACTAAGAACTCGAGCTCCCCAGACTTTAACACTTCTCTTTCTCTACTACCTTCTATTCGAAACCAAATCCTATTTGTGTTCTCGATAACCCATAAATGTTTCACAAAATTAAGGAAACATTCAAAAGCCGCGCTTCAGGAAAGCGACAGTCTGAAGATGGCGTGCCACATCTTACAAGGTCTGAACAGCTTAGACCCTCACATCAAGGTACACGCCAATCTAATATGAACTGTTCGAATCTCCCTTTTCTCCATTTCAGTAGACGTCAAGACAACGGAGATTCTCGCAACCGAACATCAGTACAAGAAACCAGTATCCCACAAACATCTCAATATGCTCCCTCGTCTCCTCACCATTCACCTCGTCATAGTCAACATTCCAGTTCTCGTTCTATTCAGAGTAATGAAAATGGTCGTCCATCTACATCCACACGGGCCGAAAGTGTTGCATCACGCTCTAGTAGTCATCATACTAAATCAACAAATATGAGTCCCAAGGTGGTGGTTCCACAAGGTAGATCATCTAGAAATGAGCTTCGTCCCTCCTCTGCATCAAGGGATGAGCCCCGTTCTTCCGTTCCAAGATCTTCTATTACTGTCGAAGGGCCACTTATTATATCAAGCTCTAATAATCATCATACTACATCAACTATGAGACGTACGAAAATGTATCCCAGAGGGGTAATTGTACACAATGATTTACCTGGAGATGAGCTTCATCCTTCCTCTGCATCACAAGAGCCTTACTCTTCTATTCCAAGATCTATCACTGTCGAAAGACCAATTAAAAGGTAAATAAGCTCTCTTCACGATTGAACTTCTTCCCTAGCCCCCTATTCGGTCGAACCCCAATACTTGTCAAGATATATGTACACGACTACATTACTAACTCTCAGTTCTCAGATCCAGATTTATCTATTGCTCATCTCGAACTATTGAGAGAGAGCACCGGAATCGACGTTACCATGAGTAAGGCGGATCAAGATGTGAAGGTTGTGCCTTGTAACTCACGGAACCAGATTGGTCTATTGAACCGATGAATTATTTTAGTATGAGGAATTTTGGTAGAAGGAATTTTTGTCGACTAAGAAAGGGTTAGGGAACCAAAGGATGGAGATATACAATATAGGATTTGCAATTGTAGACTTTGAAGATCGAGGGATAGAATAATTAGGAACCATAAAATGCATGGCTTTATACTACCTGAGAATAATGAATGTGACTGTGTGTACATTATGCCAGTCATTAAATATGAATCATTGTCTTCAAAATTCGAGTCAAACCTCCTCAAACGGTTTTACTTACAATATTTCGCCTTTTAAGGACTCGCATTTCCTGGGCTTTGAGTTTTGGCTTGATTCTTTACACTCAAGATACCTTTCTTTGAACACTAAATTCTCGATCAACTCTCAATTAATACTCAATACAAATCGACCATGGGATTTCTCAGAATTATCACATCACTTACTCCAGGAGATCCTCGGTCCCGAGTTTCACGTCCACGACGTGAAAAAAGTGATAGGGGACCGAGCCAGCGTGCTCCCCCTTTCAGTCTTCCGCCTTATGAAGCTCCTCCTCCTTCTTACGAATCCCTTTCAACTACACCCGCGAGACCTAAAGGCGTTGAATCAAATTCTGAAAGTCATCGTGCCACAACGAGAGCACATTCTGGAAGTTTAGTTGCACCCAGCGGGCCATCTAACAGGCCGAAATTACCTCGTTCATCACGAAGAGAAAGACCCCATTCTTCGTATACACCAAAAGTCGACCGCCGATGTTCCCAGGCACACATTCGAGAGAGAACGAAGTTCCCGATGAGGATTCCATAATGATAGATGCACCCAGTGTATTGTCTGATCATGGTAGAGTGCGTTCTTTTGGTGATCCCACAAGAGACAACTGGTCTTTACCCCGGGGTCAGATATCTAAGTACGAAGACTCTCTATTTCACTTCCATCTCTTGATCTTGTACTGTGTAACATCACTAACCTAAAACAAAGTGCTGTTCATGATGGCACACCCAGACCAGAACCATGTTTCCGATTAATCCTGCATCAAAAAGATTTTGGGGCGGAAGATCTGCAGAGAATGAGAAAACTGATGCATTTGGTTATCCCATGGACTCTGAGAATGCACGTTTCCCTGATGGCAAAAGGCCTCTTAGAAGCAGACAGACTACTCGAGGCGGACCTGTTGGTGGAGGTTCATATAACTCTGGGTTCTTTACCCCCGGCGGAAACTCGCAATCTCGAGGCTATTAATTACCTTCGGGACAAGGGTCGGTTTGTGAGAGGGTATCAGAGAAGTGACTGTTCGCTTCCTTTGGATATAGAAGATTACGGGGCAAGGAAATGAAGGGGAGGCGTTAAGAGATGTATGATATGATCTCGGAGGACTATTGAAGTTAAGAACAGGAGAATCGAGGGCTTAGTGATAATAACCGAAATGCATGGCTTTTTAAAATTTACTGAAAGTAACAGAAACTATGGCTGCTGTTTTTCTAGTACAGATTTCTTCCAGATCCTTAGACCTCAGCTTTCACTTAATCCGAGTCTCGATATTCGAGTTTTCTGCGAGGTGAAAGTGTCAGATATCTGGAATTTCCCTAGAGTCATTCCTGTCTCTGTTAAAGTTCGTTGCTTTGAGAATTTGGCTACGACTGTAATCTTTGATATGATCAACTCCCAACTTTCGTAACTCTTCACCAATCTCAAATTCAAACCATTGTCAGACTAACAGTATCGAAGTGTATGCAGAAGCTTCGGTCATAATTCTTTTCCGTCTGGAGTCATCAAAAATGAGTCCTCGAAATTCCTTGCGATCGGAACATTAATTATGAGACATGAATGGGAATCATACATATGACTCGAGCATAATTCAACGACTCATTTCACTGTCCCCGTGCATCGTGTATTTGATTTCCCATATTTGAGTTTTTAATTTTGACGTATTGCAATCACACTTCCCATCAACATCAACATCAACATCAACATCAACATCAACATCAACATCAACATCAACATCAACATCAACATCAACATCAACATCAACATCAACATCAACATCAATATCAATATCAATATCAATATCAATATCAACATTAACATCAATATCAACATCAATATCAACATCAACATCAATATCAAAATCAAAATGTCAAAACAAATCATCACAAACCATAACAGTAGACCCGCATCTACGTATCAATCTGTGAACCAACAATTAAGAACTTCGTATTCTCGGGCGTCAAATGAAGAATCGGTTACTGGAACTTCAGATTTGTATCGATCACCCAACAATTATGGAAGAGTAAGAGAATCAAGAAATATTTTCGGAAAGTACCTTTCTTCCAGAGGACGGCAGGAAAGGAGAGAAACCAAGGAGTTTGCAAACTTTCTCCGAGAAAATGATCGATATTTTGCTGCAAATCGCAGAAAGGAACTCGAGGGTAGACATAGAGACGAGGAGATGAGACGTAGAAAAACATCGGAGAGTATTTCAAGAGAGGAAGATAAAGTACAAGAGGAAAGGAGAGCACTAGCGATAGAACGAAATGGTGGGTGGTATCAACATGATCTGGAACGAGAAGAAGAAAGAAGACACCAAGGAGAAATATCCAGAACAATAGCAGCATTACCACCGAGACAAAGATTGCAAAAGAAAAGACAGATGGAAAATAGAACAGAAGAGAAAAGAATCCAGAGGGATAAATCCCGAGAGGAAAAAAGAGCACGACAGCTAAACAGATTGAAACAAAAAGACCGCATACAGGAGGGAGAAACATTGCACAAGAATTATAGATATCGAGGAGAAAGACAAGAAGAGGAAAGTCAAGCCTTACGTTTGTTTAGTGCTTGGGAACGTGGATTTGATGTCCAAGGAGAAGAAGACCTGAGATGGGTATTAGGACTTGCGTATCAGCCAAATGATTACCCTATTGTACCTCTTTGTGATCGGGTAGGAAGTCGTCCTTCAATACCGTTACCGCGACAAAGGCCTTCTAGGCCTCAACTTCATCGATCTGCTCCACCCCCTCGACCTCCACCCTCTCAATCATCTCAACCGCCTCGGCCTCCCCGACTTCTTCAACCCCATCAAACTCCTCAGACCCTCCCTCCTCCTACTCATCGCCGCCATGTTCCATCTCCGCCTTATAACACCAATTCTCGACCTAGAATCAAAATTGAACACATTGCATCACCACCATCATCACCACCACCTCGCAGATCTCGCCATCACCACAATCCTGACCCACCTGAGCCTCGCTCTTCAAGCCGCGGTCGTAGTCATCCTCCAGCCTCAATGCATTCTTTAACAAAATCAAATATTACACAACACAATGAAAACAGGTACTCATCAATAAACAACACACCAGCCGCAAAACAATAGTCCAACCCCAAACCCAAAGACACAAAGTGTATTTCGAGAACTTCTAGAATCAAAACATCTGGAAAAGCTCGAGTGAAAGATTGTGTTCAAGCAGGGGCCGTTGTTGGAAGAGTTGGAGCCGATGTTGGAATAGTGCTATGGAGTTTGGTGACTGCCGCTCTCGTAATTTTAGACTAAATGTATGTACCGGTATTTCCTTTATTTCTTCATGTCATTACTTTTTCTCCTTTCCCTTTTCAAACCGCGAAATGCACATACTTACGAGGGTCGCTTGACCCCGAATTCAGACCCACTGGTACTATTACCATGTCAAGGCTGATTCAAGATTACATATAGGAAAACTGCGCGTATATTTTCTCAAGCTGTCACATTCTTCCTTCCTCCCCAACCACTCCACTCCCCCATAACTCTCTTAGAACCATTTCACCTCCTCCACGCCTCCATCAACTAATACCAACTATCAACTATCAACTTCCCCTCCCTCTACCCCCATCAAAAGTGGAGAACCACACCACACTACACCAAGCATACATACAGCTTCCTCCCCTCTTCCCCACAATAACCCAACGCCACCCCTCAGACATGCAACAAAACCTACACTCAAGCAGCACTAACCATAGCAACTATGCTATCCCAATCCACAAGACCAATCTAGCTAGCGCCACCACTTTGAGATCTGCAGTGAAATTCGCAATAAAACCCGCGTGAGAAGATCACTTGCATAAAGAGCAACTGGATTATACCATTCACCACCTGGGGTTTCTAGCACGAAGTAAGTCATTGCTACTCGTACCGGGATAGGCAGCAACATCGTTCCTCGAGTGATTTGATGTAAATAGAGCAGGAAAGACAAAGCAAAGAGGTAGTATCTAGGTTCGCGCGAGGAATAAATACATTTTATGATCAACCATCACCAGCATCCCCAATCATAACGCATACTGAGTCCAATTATAAGTCTGATATCCCACCAATATCATGAAAACGCGACAACAAATGAATGAAGTAAACACCAACCTCTCATCTCGTCTCGCGTCGTCTCTTCTCGCCACAGTGGCACCAACCAACCACACCTTAATTTCCCTCCAGACCCCTATAGAAAAACAGAAAAATCGCCACCGGAAGCACCGAAACACCACGACGTGCAACAAAAGCATTCCCAACCTCTCCCAAATTTCCTCTCCCATCTCTTGCCAATCAACATACAAACCATTCTTCATTTCCCTCATTACATGTGTGATTTCTGCAGCAACAATAACAACCACAATAATAGCCTGAACACCCCAGCACCGCGCTTACTAACCCCGCGCCCACCGACCAATCATACTCCTCTCACCAACTATCGGCGTGTCCGAAAGTGGAAATGAGACAGGTTGGTCGGACGTCTTGTGCTGTACGAAGCAGATCTTAATGTTCTTCGAGAGTCAGAGATGAATCTATCGATTCGATAGATTTATTATTGAATCAATAAATCGATAAATAAATCAATAAGCAAATATTCCATCCTCGAGAGTCGAGACATCACATCCACCTAGTGATCTCGACTCGTAAACTCAATATGAATCATCAACCAATAAGAGTTTTTGAGACTCTTCGTGGCGAGTCTGGTCGGGCATACCGAGAACTGTAGATTTGCAACAAACTCTCTACCTACCTAGCATTTCTCTGACGAAACTACGAGATGGTAATGAGTATGTAAGTATATCTCAGATTTTACATAATACAATACCATACAATCTAATACAAACCACGATATCCAACTCAACATACCACCTCACCCATTCGAGACCTCCCTAGCTTTCCAAAAGGTAAAACTAATCTGCATCCATCTAATCTAACCCAACCATTCTACATTCTCCATACCCTCATTCCAAATTCAAACGGAGATACCGAGAATTGTAGATATGCAACAAGAGCTCTATTTTCTCTTTCTCGATTTTTTCTACGTATTCCAGACCCAATATCTAACACACTTACAAACTCACCCGACATACCTAGTGACCATCAACCAAGCACCAAGTTTCACACCTCCCTTTTGAGTATCTTTAAACGAATGTCGTCTCAGACCCTATTTGCAAACAAACGTATACGGACAGACCGAGAGATGTAGATATGCAACAAAATATATCTTTTCGTTTTGTGAAGACGAGATTGTGATTGTTCGAGACGATTCTATAATTACATCCTACATGTATCTTTCTACCCCCATAATTCCCTCTCAGCTTCTGAATTCCCAATCTTCCCAATCTAGTCTCATATATCCATATCCATATCCATATCCATATCCAAAACAACCCGAACAAACCCAAACGGCCATACCGAGAGATATAGATATGCAACAAACCCTCCAATCCGCATCCATCCCGCACCCAAACATCCTGAGACTCTGCTAGCTAGAAGCTACACCCAATCTCACTCAACCACGAACTTCCTGACTTCCATCTCGTTGATTCGATTTTGTCTTACGTATCAAACATTTTTATACGCGCATACGGAAATACGAGAAATTGTAGATATGCAACAAAACTGCAATTTTCCAAATCTTCTACAATGTAGTTCTTACTTACCCATACATCCTGTATCAAAATATCCTAAGACAATTTATAATATTTTATCCTCTGATCCAATCACAAGCTAGCCTATGCACTTCTCTTTCGGCCTATTGATTTTAGTCTAGCTTGCTTACCTAAATCTAGGTGTCCCAGACATTCCGCGTAAGCATGAAGATACGAGATCTGTAGATATGCAACAAATCCTATTTCACGCCTCTCTTTTCAACTATTGTAGTCTAATACTTATAGCTTGGACTTGGTTTCAGACATTCTGCATATGCACAAAGATACGAGATCTGTAGATATGCAACAAATCCTCTCTCTTTCAAACCTGTCCTCTCAATCACTGTACTCTGAACTGTAGTCTAATACTTAGCTTAGACTTACTCATTAGTTCCAAACATGCTATGTACGAATAAAGATACGAGAAATTGTAGATATGCAACATAACCTCTCATTCATTTCATCGTTTTCCAAGTCCTACGCGTACCTATACGACCAGAAAATATACTAACTACACTCTGCTCACAGACAGACACGTGGTGAAGGAAGAAACTCGTATATCTTACAACGGGCTCGCTCAAAATCGAAAATATTAGGAAAACACTATTATTACTCTAAAATGGAATATTTAATAAATCAGAAGTTTATCAATAATCGTAAAAATCAATAACACATGATAGCTCATAGACTTCATAATATGGGTATAACTTATATTATTCAATAAACTAGAGTAATAATTCGATATAACAAAGGATTCCAAAAAATAGTATATTTCTAAGAAACTAGTTCCTCCCTCTCTACAACAAAATAACAAGCACATTCCATTCCACTCCATTCTACAAAATAACAAAATACAAAATCATCAGCACCTCATACCTATCTAAAACAAACAAAATATCACACACTCTCCAATTGCAACCATACTATTTGAAATAGATCTCCCATTGCAATCTCTCTCAGCCGCTTCGCTACTCTACTCTACTCGTACACATAACGCGGTTTATTATCGAGTGGCCTATATCATCGAGTGACCCACTTTCACCTCAATTTACACCTATCTTTTTTAATATATATTTTATTAATAATCTATAATGAATTCAAATAATTAAAAAGCTTATATACTTTTTATTATCAAAACTATTTATAAAAATAAAAAATTAAATATTCAAAAGATTATTATACTCTATAATATCTTTTATATAACTTTTCAATATAAAATAAAAGATTTATTTTTTTATATAAAAATTCAAATAAATTATTATAAGATTATAAAATTAAAAGAAAAAATAATTATTTAATATATATTTGATATAAATTTAAAAGAATTTTTATTTAAATTAAAAAATATAGAAAATATAATAAATAATATTTTCAAATTGAGAAATACAAAATATATTAAAAAGCTTTAAATATATCAATTTATAAAATATTGAATTGAATTAAAAATATATTTTAATTTTTAAAGAATTTTTAAAGAATTTTTTGTAAGAATTCTAAACTTTTTGAAAAATAATTTCAATTAATTGCAAATATATAAGCGAAATATAGTATTTTAAATAAGATTTTTATAATTTTGATAAAATAGATTTTATAATAGAGATTATATATCTAATAATAATAATAATTAATACTAAACAAAATAATAAAAAACAAGATAATATAATTAGATAATCAAGAATAGGTTATAGTAATAATATATGGAAATAGAAAGAATAAAACTATTCTTTTATTTTTAATAATTTAAAAACAAATTTATTTCTTTAATTAATATATTAAAACAAATCTTTTTATAAAATAAATTATTAAATCTATATCCAATAAATAAACAAATAATAAAATAGATTTAGAATAATTGAATATTTTAATAAATATATTAAGAATCAAAGAAAAAATAATATTGAATATTAATATTAAATAAATATAAAAACCATAAATTAATAGCTTTTCAATATATTATAAAGAAAACAATATTATATATTTATATTTATTATTATATTTAAATTATTTAATTCAATTATTTAATATTAATTATTTTAATAATCTAAAATATTTATATAATAATTAAATTAATAGATTTATTAAAATATATATTAATTATATTTCAAAAATTGAATTCTTTATAACTTTTAAAACTATATACAAAGAATCAATTATTTTTTAGAATATAAAATCAGAATTTCAAAAAATAGATTTAATTCTATTTAATTCTAAAATTATATTCTCGAAATTAAATATTCGAATTTACATATTTATCTCTCTTTTTTTCAATTTAAATCAATAAATTTCTCAAACCCTTTATAATCTAATTATTGTTTTAATTAAAAATAATATAATATATACACCTTTTTAATAAGCATTCAATCAAGTATAGGCATATTATATAATTAGATCATATGATTATCGCTTATAAAGCTTATGAAAGCGATTATTAATCCGAAAACAACCATT